TTATATCTACGCGCTTCTAAGATTGATTTTAAAAGAATGCTCTTAAACTGATTAATTTTTTATATATTTAACAAAATTTAACAAATCTAAATTACCGGGCTCATTTCTCGCTTTTTATACAAAAAATCTAAATTACCGGGCTCATTTCTCTCTTTTGTGCAGATAAATATTTTATTTTTTGAACCGGGCTCATTTCCATCATTTTTTGGTTAATTAAAGCAACCGGGATCAATTCTCTCTTTTTTCCGGGCTCATTTATTTTCGTGTCCTTATAAAGAGACATATATGTATAACTTATGTTTATAAACAGGAAGAATACAGTTCAGCTTTAATTTGAGTTTGACTGTGTAACTTGATTGTGATAATAAAAAATGAAAATTTGTTCTATTCTGTAGATAGAAATGTATCGGATTTCTTTCGTTCAACCAGAGAAGGAAAAGGAAAGAGAATGATATTGATCTATATCTACGCGTAGACTTATTTTTGACGGCTTTCCTAATATCTAGTCTGCGGACATACATACAGGCATTTTAACCCCTTTCCTTTACAGTCAACGGAACTTACAGAGATAACTAACTCGATATGCTCTACCAGCTGGAAGTATCAGAAGTGATTCATTTCGAAGTTCATACTGAGTCTCTGAGGATTCAGATTTTAGAGACCCAGTCGAAAAAGTAACGGCGGCTGCAATGGATATCAGGTTCATGTTCAGCATAAAACGCTACTGATAATCAGCTATGTCAAAAGGAGCAGTGAGGGCTTCACCGGGAAATATTCCTCATTAGATATGAAACTTTATTCTCTTTATTCTCCATCCATTCTAAGCTTTCGCTTTATGTGCATGTTTCGATCACGGAGGTCAAAAATGTTCAATTCAGGATAAATTTTGCCACCTACACAATGGATTTACTGTGACGGAAAAACACTGTAAAAGCTCGATATGTTCGTGAAGCTAACTCATAAAAAAGCTAACCAGACATTTAAAGAGTTCGTTGTTAGATATAATTCATCAGTAAAGGCGATGTTTTTCATTAATGCTACACTTGGCCGTCTAATTTGATGTGGGGAAAATACAGAATATTATCTATAAACATTGTTTTTTTAGCAGTTTCATCTGGTAGTGTTCGCGGGATAAATGAAAACTGTGCGATACACAGTTTCATTCAGCATAAAAAACTTCCTCGAGTGCGACATTAAACTCCACTTTAAGGACTCCCGCTCTCAGAAATGATGATTCTCGGTCAAAAAAATCGCTTTTAAGATAAGCACGTGGAAAGGTTGCCCGAAGTGCCTACTTTTCAGAATCTGTTATGTAAGGAGTTCCCCTTACATAACCAACGAAGTTAGATTTCCGTATACAAGTGTTTTTGAAAAACTACATCGATAAAATATCGGTGAATATAGGCCGATCTGATTTTCCATTAGACCTTACTTATGGAGAAAGTCAAGAGCTTCTACAAAAATCAAAAGAGGTTTGGCGATTTTAAGGCTGTTGGCTTTCTAGAAAACGAACAAAATCTCATCCGAAAAATCGGCACACTTTCATTCCCGTAACTCATTGTACCCAACATTTGTGGAACTCATCAAAATCGGATGTGCGGTGTTGAAGGTAATTATTGAAGGAGACCCTTAAAGATTTTCAGCTTAGAGGGAAGTGTCTAAAACGCGTTGCAATAAGTGTGTGAGAACAGCCGTCAGATTCAAGTAATTATTCAGTAGCTTCTTACTATTTCAATTGTGCAGAAAAATGACAACTGCAGACTGATTCAAGCTTTTGTCTCCTACCCTACTTACCAGCTGCTCCATATCCCATCATTTGAGATGACAGTGCGAGAAGAATTCCCCAGGCAAAAGACGTTTCCGCAGATTCATAAGCCTGTTTATAAACGACTATATCGATGGCTGCAACTGTTTGACTGGCAATATAAATCATTATATAAATGATTGCATGCTCTTTGATATTAAATGAACACGGATTTAATGAAATTTTCCATTTCCATATTGTGAAAGGTTTGCTTGGCAGACACCAGGACAATAGTCTACCTAGTGGATATGTTAGAAGTAAAAGTACAAATTGTGGAAGTGCGTATGAATTTGTACGATAATATAAATATTGATCAAGTGACGATACGAGTGCGGTGAACAAGATACCGATTAAACAACTACGAAATGTGATAATAGCCATATCGGGAATATCTTTATTTGACACAATACCAGCAATTTCTTCATACGATGATTGCTCACTATCAATATAGTTGCTTTTGACGTTCGTTGAATCTGATTTATTATCATTCAACCGCAACTCTTCCACTTCAGTCATAATTTTTCTTTAAACTTTTATGCAAAGACAGTATAGTCTTAGTGCCTGAGTGTTTCTTATTGTATTCATTTATACTTAGCATGTAAAGAAAAACAAAGCTGACCTTCTACACGTAAAAATATTCGCTCGATATCAACACCACCATTAAGAAAATAAGTATGTTATTTTCGTTCCCCATCAGTCATAAGAAGGGACATCAATTTGACAAAGTCAGTACCTTTCGTCATGCTCCAGCAATCAATACGCTTAATTATATACCATTTTCCATCAACTCACGTACGAAGGGAGAAAAATTCTGATTACTAAAACATCGTTGTTCAAGTTGATGACACTTTTCGAATTTCGGACTTTTGACGCTGACCATTAATTCAGAAAAACATGTACTGAATATATTTCAGTTTCAAATAGACGATCCTGTGCTTAGATATAGGATTTATTTATCGGCGTAAAATCTAGCAATCTCAAGGAGGAATCGAGATAGACAGGAATAACAATACATATGAAAATTCAATCATTCGTCAAGACAGTTTATACAATGTTGTCTCGAGCATACACTTGATTGATTACATATACCTCGGTTACCTGTACAACTCTAGTCACGATGACGACAATCTTTATTACTTGCACATGTTGCATTATGATTACCATTAACTAACGAATGACGAAACAACTGAGATCCATGTAAAACTCTGACTGAGAATGTTATGAGACATTATCTAACTGAATACGAATGTAGATAATGATCAATCGAATTCTTTTCATAATTTAGCAGAATATACTTTTAACTTATACATTTGAATATGAAGTGAATATGAAGAAAACTATTGTAAAGATCTTTTATAGTGCACCTACGATCTTCGACTATGGAGGTAGAAGGAGCTTCAAAAATTCAGCTAACAAATCTCTCAGAATTCATGTCATGTTGCTCTTCGCATTTCAAAATATCGATAGTTCTTTAGAGGAATACAGAAAAAGAACGAGGTTAACTTCAAAACGAAAAACTGAACCATCGTAGAAACAATAACAAGCTCACCATTTCCATCAGATCTGGCAATCCGTCCACGGCCTTTATCATCTAATCATATAGTACGCTTCTCATCACCTGAATTCACCCAAGGTTCATCATGCCAGAAAATTAATGTGCCAGTTGTTCGAAGTTTTTGTAGTTTAGGAAAATAGTCTGCTCTCTGAGCGATGCAAAATGTGGAATCTAGCAAAGCCATTGATTTAGTCGTTTTTGAGTACGTAAGTCCGATTTGCTTCATAATTTTTGGCAATTTTGGGGTACTCGTTATTGGAAAATCAGGATAATCAAACTGAAGACGAGTCAATAGTTCATCTAAAGTAGGAAACTGTTTTTCGGCTAATAACAAATGGAAATGAAACGAATCTTTACCATATTCAGATAAATGAACCGAAGAGCGACCTAACAGTGCCTGCGCGCATTGTTTCACACTAAGGAAATGAAATTATTCCACTACACCTGGGTTTTCTCTCTCTGCCTAAGACAAGAATCAACAGATGATATTGACGCTATTGTTCCGAAATGAATAGATTGAATGACGATGTTAATTGTTTGTATCGTGTGTGCATCTGTGAATGTATGCTGATCAAGCTGATTTTGAAGTTTCTGTTATAGATGGAAGTGAGTGGATGTGAGAGAAAAATGTGCGAGCTATTAAAACTTTCTATTTTTGAACTCAAAGGAAATTTTTGTTGGTAGTTTTCTCTAGTGTCTTTTCGTCGATACTTTTCAGAAGAGAGTTTTAAAACCAATGGGAGTTTCTGCGATTTCTCTTAATGTCGATGACAATTCTCAAGAATTTTTAAAAATCTTATAAATGCCGGCATATTTACACGAATTTCTAAAAATATCGTAACTGTGTCAACTATTAAATTTTTCTCAAAAAAACACCAAGAAATGCAAAAAACTCTACAAAAATTTCAATCAAATTTCTAGAATTTTCAAGAAATATATCAATACTTGCACTATTTAAAACTTCATATCAATTCTTGTAATTTTATGAGATTTCCAAAGAAATCTGTAATATTTTTCTCAGAAATCTCGATCAGCTTTTTTTGACATTTCTTAGAAAAACCAGAAATGTTATTCTGAAATTTTCAGAAGCTTGCCGACGTTTTTTTAGACATCTTTTTTTTCCCATCAATATTTCAAGTGTCTTTTCAATAATACCATTAAAATATGGATCGAATTCATTCTTGGGTGGTTTCATTCGAAGGAAATATTTATGAAGTTAACCGTTTTATATTATTTATACGGCAGGCACGTGTGTTCCAAATAACCTTTATACGCGATGACGTTAATTTGTGTTTAATTTTCATTGAATAAATAGCAACAGAGTTATCTATAATATCCGATTCACGTTTCGATAATCTAAAAAAGCGAAAAGGAAACGAGATGGATATACAAAACAATGAAGCTGAATAAAACAATACAAAATAAATTTAGTTTGGCTTACTGTAACGATTGGTTTTCTCGATTGAACGCTTTTTCTTCATGTTCCTCCACATTCTCCACGTTGATATCTTCTTCATTTGAGTCTCTTCATCTTCAATATCTATTCCGTCATCGTCTTTTCCATTTCTACCAAAAAAATAATCATCAGGTGTCAATGAATTTTCATTATCATTCACATCATTATCTTTTGACATAGAGTGTTCTTTGCATGTAATTTCATGATCAGTAATTTCAACATCTTATTAAATATAATTTTGTTAAAGTTAAAAGAGGGCTAACTTCATCTTTATTTCTAAAATAAACACATCCACAGATATAAAATAATATTTTTGCAGATAAAAACATTCAGTTTACCCTACACGAAATATCGCAGTTTTGCCAAGAAGACGAGAACGATTTTTCAGATAATAATTTTCGTTGCTTGTAATACTATACTATTTTTTAGTTTTAATTACAGAACCGATCGATTTTAATTTTATCTTTGTCATTCTAAAACAGAATCTAAAAAGAGCAGTAGAACCAATAAGAAAGTGATATTTCTCAGATTATATTTTCTCGATAAAAAAATTAAAAAGTATAGGACAGAAGGAAGAGTGATGTTTCTAACTTTTCCTAGAGAAAACATCTTGTATACTCAAACCACATAACATTTAATAAGTTGTTCTCATTTCATAGTATCGTTTATTTTCATTCTCATATTAGTACGATGCTACATAAGCATCCTAAAACAGGTACACACACATAGATAATATATTTTCGAATACATAACACAAAAAAATGAAACAAGAAAACGAAAAATAATAAATAAAATTATACGTTCAATTTTACTACACTATCTAATATTTCTTCATTATTTGTCAATGATTGTGATTGTGTTAATAAATGTAATTTCTCTCTTTTTGACTGTTCAATATTTTCAGTTACTTTCTTCTTTATTTCATATTGTTTTTCCATTTCACGCATCTGTCCAATAACTGATTCTCTAATTTCGCTAGTATTCCATACTGCACAGAAATATCTTCGTCCAAAGTCTAAAAACAGAGAAAGAAAGTTGCATTCATATTCGAACTCAAAATATCATTCTTTCAGCATTTTATCGAGTTTCGCTTTACTTTCTAAATCCATTACCCATAATTTATTCTTAAGGGATATATATTTGAATACGAATACCGATAAACTTTAATTTTATTTAATATTTTAAGTTTGCTTGCAATTCGTAATGAATAATATTATATTATAGGTATAATATTCATTACGAATTACAAGCAAGCTTAATATATTAAATAAAATTAAAAATTGCCCATAATATATATGTTTCTGGTTTTGGACTAAATTCAGGAAACATTCTCATGAAAATTGATCTCACTGTTTTAGTCATTGATTTTGGCTGTACACATTCATGAATGGCTTCTAATGTAAGACCAAGATATTCGGCTTCAGCATCTGCATCAAAGTTATCTAAACCGTCATGTTCGATAACTAATTTTAAAGATAACTCTTCTAAAAATGTACACGCTGTTTTATGTCCATCCGGTAATTCTAAAACACAATAAAAATAAAAAGTTAGACAGATCAGAAGAGCAAGAAAAAAAGACAATTAAGTGGAATTACCAAAAGACATTAATTTAAATTGTTCAAACCTTCTTTTGTTTTTTGATGTGCATGTTTTTCGTTTTCTAACTCGTTTGGATATCAAAACATTCGCGACGTAATTCATCAACAGATAAACTCAAAGTGTAAATATTGTGTTGTCTGAGACTCCAAAATTCTTACTACTTTCCTTCATACTAGAACTATTTTATAGTCATCATATTATTCATTTATCTGTGAATATGAACCTACTGTCTCTATCGCGCACTGAGTTTGACTTCATAGAACAATCAGAACGACCTTCTGCATCAAAAGTTTCTCTAATACGAACCTCTGTATCCTGTTTTAGGGAATAATATCACAGGTCTTCCAGGAGCTTAAGCTATTTCTCAACACATCCGCTTCAACTCTGACTTGAACATTAATACATGGTACATTGCTGGTAACAATTTCGATAGTGAATGCATATCACTGATATGCGACGCATTATCTACCAGTACCAAAGTTAAAGCATTCTGGTTAAAACGAAATTCTCCTAGTCGCCGTAACGGTCCACGTTGCCCAGACGTTAACGACTAAGAATTATTTGCAAACATTAGATTTGCTAAATACCGACTTATTGAATGAAGGCTGCGAAATATTGTGCAACGCTCTAAAATTGAATCATATCCTTAAATATTTGTAGAATAGTGAACTCTAACTATGCCGTCATGGTACGTATAGGTATGGGTAGGTAAGGGTAGGTATGGATAAGTGCGGGTAGGTTTGTGTAGGCATGGGTAGGCATAGGTGGGCCCGGGTAGGTATGAGTAGATACGGGTACGTATGGGTAGGTAAGCTCGCGTACCTACCCATTCCTGCTCGTACCTTCCAATGCCTACTCATACCTACCCATACGTAAGCGTACCTACTCATACCTACCTCATCACAGTGGGCATTTAGGCGGCATTTTCTGAAAAAATCGTAGGTACGAAATTTTCTGTTTTGAATAGCGGTATATATAGTGTAAACGGTGCCCCATTTAACAGTGAAAACATTTTTGTTCTAGCTGCTTCCAAAGTGGAGAAAACCAAGTTACAAAATTACTAGCGGAATAGGCGTGTTGGTATTTAAAATTGCATTTTCTCCATCAAATTTGAATTTTTTTTGAAAAACAAACACT